GCCACCTCCCCAAGTCCCCCAGACTTTCCTCTCTTCTGCTCCTCCCATCACCGGTGTGACCCATTAAAATTGACTTTGGACAAAAAGTGACCCATCTTTTGGTGGCCTTGGGAACTGTACAATGTCATCAAGACACGGGCCGTATAGTCTTGGACATACGTGCAGAGGTAACACTGGACCCTGTCCTGGTCACTTTCAGCAGAAAGGGTCCTCATGCCAGCCCCAGGCCAGGCTGGGCCATGGGAAAAGTCATTTCTCTGTTGTGTCCATTACCAAGGCCACAACACATTAGCCCAGCCTGAAGTCCCTTCTTTTGGGGCTCCCCGTTGGCAGCACCATGTCAGGCCCACCACGTGGCCTTGGGTTTAGAGATTCTGGGGCCCAAGCTGTCTGCTATTGGTTCCTGCAGGGGGGAGGCTGGAGGGCGGGGGGAGGGGTCACTCTGGAGAGCTGGCCTAGGTCCACCCCTCCCAGCCTCACTTTCGGCTCCCCACCCCAGGGGCCTTGCAGGAAGACTGGCAAGAGTCTGATGTTCCCTGAGTCCCAGCATCGCTCCCCACCTGCTCCAGCCCCTCCTCCCCTGGATCCGCTGTGCAAACACAGGGCTACCGCCAGGCTGTGGGAACAGTAAATCTTCCTCACTCTTTTATTCATGCTCTCACCTCTGCAGACAGTGTGGAGGAAAAACAAACCCCCCAAACCCCTGTGGGATCCTGCAGTCTGGCAGTCTCTTTTTGCTCCTCTCTGATTCCCTCCGGAAGGCAGAGGCCAGGAGGAGAGACCTGCCCAGGTCCGGTAGGGGTGGCGGCCTTCCCTCATCCCCACCCCCGCATCTCCTCCTTCCCAGTGGGCTCCATGAGCACCTGCCACATGCTGAGCCCCATACCAGGCTCTGGGAACCAGAAATCAGTGAGACCTGGGGAATCCGGGAAGTCAATATCCACGGATTATAGAAGCAGCAGGGTGTCTGCCTCTCAAAACTGCAGGAGAGCTCCCCGGGCAGGAATGTTGGCTCAAAACATCAGGCAGGATGAGGTCTGGCTGCCCTGGTTGCTGGATGAGAAGCCGGCGAGGGGAGGGAGGGGCGGCCAGGTCAGCTGTGGGCCATGGGAAGTGGGGACTCCCGCTCCAGCAGCCCCTGGGCCCAGGCAGCATCTGCCGATGTGGGAGTCTGGCAAATCAGTTTGGATCTCGAGAATTCCCTGGAGCCTTCTCCCCCTGCAACTCTGGGCCACCAGGGAAGGCTTCCTTTAAGCTCATTCAGACCAAAGAGGGACCAGAGGTGGCCAAGCGACACTGGATTTTGCAGAACATCTTTTCTACAGAAGACAGGCAATGGACTTAGCGTGACCCACGGTCCCGGTGGTTCGCCCAGGACTGCAGGGTTTCTGGGGACCTGGGGCTTTTGGTGTTAAAAACTTGGGCAGTCCTGGGCAACCCGGAAAGGTGGGGGTCACCCTGAGGGACCCTCTGTGAACCTGGCACATGGCTCGGGAGAGAGGATGACCTAGACCCAAGTTGCCTGGTAATGGTTCCGTGGGCCGAAAACTTCCTTCATTACTGACCACCTGCAGGAGGAAAGGCTAGTGAGCAGAGGGGCCCATGGGCAGTTTAGGAGCTGTCAAGGGAGACGAGGCAGAAGGAAGGTGCCCGTGGTCTTCGAGGCAGGAAGGAAGTTTCCTGACTGTCTTCAAGGAGCTGGTGCTCAGGGGGCCCCACCCAGAGCCTGGGGTGTTGGGAAGGGAGCTGGGTAGCCCCTGAGAAAACCTGTTCTTGAACCCTTTGCCAGGGTACAAACACGGGGCAGAAGGAGATGAGAAAGACGGTTTTAAGGTCTTCTGCCTGGTGCCCCATCCTCCCAGGGACTCAGTGGGGCAGGGATGCCAGAGCAAGCTGGTTGCCTTAGATCTGTCCCTAGGAAGAAGCTCTTCTCCACGGGTGACCAACAGCACTTTGTGGGGAAGGCAGGTGTCTCCAGAGGCAACAGAGGTTTGCGTTAAAGCTAGCCTGACAAGGCAGACCCCATGGAGACGGCCTCGCCCAAACCCCTTATTTGATTGGTGGGAGACCAGACTCCAGGGAGGCTGTTACTAGCTCAGGACAGCATGTTCTCAAGTGGTTGGAGACCCAGATGGGACTGTCCACTATCAGATGCCACAGCCAGAGCTTCCTTGGACAGGAGGATGCTCACAAGATAAGTCCAGCCTTAGGAAAGCCACTGTCTTCCTGGAACCCACATGCTACTCTGGGAGAGGCACCTGAGTGGGAGATCGCACCTTCTGGAACCAGGACTCCTCTCTCTCTTCTGTTTGAGTCCCCACCTTGGTCCACTCCAGCACCAGCCCCAGTACTGCCCTGCCCTGGGGCTTCCGGGGTGCTGGAACCCTGCAGAGGGTGCCTGCAGGCTCCACCCGTCCCTTTCTTGGCCTTGGAATGTGTAAGAAAAACCAGCCTCACCCCTCAGCAGGAAGCTACTCCCCACCTGCTACCTGGAGACTTCCTAGAAATGGAGCTGTTTAAGACACAGTTTAAAGAGCCATTAACCACACTGGGTTCCCAGCAGTTTAGCAGGAAGAAGAGCCCCAGGCATGAAGCAAACCCAAAGATCCATCCCAGTGTGTCTGAGTAGGAAGGTGGGGAGGGATCAAACCTAGGGTGCTGAGGGAGGCTGGAGCCTAGGAGCAGGTATAGGTGAGTTCCCTTTTGAGGGTCCTACGTGCACCACCAGGAGAGCGCAGAGAAGGGAGAAGAGAGAAAACAATGGAGATGGAAAACCATCTCCTGACGGCTACTGTACCAGCTGTCAGCATTTGTAGCATTTCCGGTTTTGTCCTATTGTGGGTGAGCCCAGTTCCTCCAAAAATAAAATGCAGGCAAGAGCCTGAGAAATGTTCCCAGGGAACGATGGGGCTGTCCCCTTGTTCATAGCAACTCCTAGGAGAAGCGGGACGCCAGCAAAAGTCTCACAAGGAGAGTCTGCACCCTACTGGACCCTCCAGACCCCAAAAGCACAGAGAAGGGCTCTGCCCTGGACCTGGCAGCCAGGAGTCCCCCTCCAGGGGCGTCTCAGGAGGCTGACAAGCTCCGCCCAGGCATCCCAGGTGGGACGCTGAATCCTTGGGGGGAGAGACAGGCTTCCTGCACACACAGAAACACCCTGACTTAGTCAACAATGGGTCCTTGGAGCTCCCTTAGCAATTACTGCCTCACCACTCAGCTTTGTGCCTGGCTGGCCACTAATCATTTGTTGAAAATAAGTCTCACCACTCCAATACGGCAGCCAGCCGGCTTCTCTAGCTCTGAGTTCCCTGCTGAGCTTAACACAGCTGGGCACCCAGCTGGTCCTCATTAAAATCCTTCTGGACCTGAATCTTCCCATCCTTCCTTGCCCCCATCTCCAGCCCTGCTCTCCAGCAGCCAGCCCAGGGCACTCACTTCTCCTCACTTTCCTAAGCACTGGAGTGGCAGATGCCAGCACAGGAAGGGCAAGCGAGAGCCTCTGAGTCTGTAGATCTGACTGGTCGCCCAGCGAAAGTTACAGGGACCTTCTATCGGTAACTGGGGATTCGCTATTAGCAAATTCTCTAATGAGCGTTCTCTTTACCGTCCTCCTGTGGAAGATGCTCACTTGTTACATTTAAGTCAGACCACGCAGAACTGGAAATCTGCAAGAATAGTGCCCAGGAAGGGTCTCTGGCAGCAGCCGCTTCCCAGATTCTGGTTTCCTCACCTATAAAAGGTAGGGATGGCAAAGCACTACTGTCGGCAGGGGACTAAACCAGGTGATGAGTGCCTTCCAGGCCTGTCCTTCTGTGCGGTGTTGGACCATCTCGCTCATCCACGTGCAAAACCGGGATGTGGATTTGGAGTAAAAAGACCCCAGGCTCACATCCGGGCTTTGGCACTGATTAGCTGGCTGGTCCTGGGGGAGTCACTTAATCTTTCTGAACTAATTTTCTCGCCTGTGAAATGGGCACAATAATAATCTCTGCGCCACAGAGATGGTGTGGGATTTAAATGAGATGCCACGTGTGAGAAAGTAGGCTCCAAGAGTTACTGAAGATTAACAGGTCATAATGACCGTGGTGAGTAAAAACCTCCCTTTAAATAAGCAAATTCGTATGAGGAGGACATCAGAAACCCAAAAAAAGAGCATCACTGATGGATGTGCTGGTAACTCCCCAACCCAGGGGGAGCCGCAGCCCTGAGACTTCACAAGATCAGGGAGTAAATGCTGGTCTCGGGATGGAGGCTGGAGGCTGGGGCTCTAAGAACAGAGCGTGAGGCTGGCTGCCACCTGCCCGGGCCTCTCCCACACTGCTTCTGCAGTCTGGCAGCGGACTCCCAGCAACCACTTCCCCAGGTAATAAAACGACTGTAGATTGAGGCCCTTTTTTTTTGAGTGCCCTTCATGCAAAGGAAGCCGACCCTCCAGGAATGAATATTCATTTGTACTACCCCCTAAAAAAAAAATGCTGATAAACTCACGAAAAAGTTGTGTTATTGCTGAACGCTAATTGCATTTCCTTGGGTAAGCACCATAAAAAATTCATTGCAGTTTTTAGAAACAAGATGCCAATTGCATTGTAATTGCTAGAGAGGAGAGAGTTGCAGGGAAGCTTAACGAGGAAAATGCTAACTGGGCAGAAGTGCAGAAAAACACCTCCCTGAGCCGAAGGCTCAGTTCTTAAAGGAGAGCTAAGGAGAGGGGGGGTCTTGTGGGGAGCACCCTCCCCGAGGGAGCTCTGACTCAGTGACAGTCACACTTGCAGCATCAGAGCCCCTGGACGGCTGGGGCTTTCTGTGGCCAATCAGGACATGCAGCTTTAATAGATGTAAAGAATTATATAAATGGGTATATGCCAAAATTCTCGAGAGATGAGTAGGAATCAGTTCCAGAGCTTCAAGAAACATGTATGGGAGGACAACTGTAATTCTACTACTCCTTAATGTGTCTGTGAGAAAGCGAAGTGGGGTTGGAAGGAGGATGCGACCAAGACCATACATCACTTCACTTTAATACCGGAAGTCCTTGGACCAGTTCACAGAACTGTCATTTTAAAACCTACATCCAATTCCGACACCAACCAGAGTGTTCTTACAGTGCCCCCTGCCCCAGCAAGGCCAGCCAGAGCCAGGTGAGGGCAGGAAGTAGGTGAGATCGACAGGAGAGTTGGGAGGATCCTGACTCCATGGGCTTAACCTGGTTGACCCCATCTGCCCAGGAGCGTCCCAGCCTGGGCTTCTAGGGAGACACTTGCCCCGCCTGAGAGCACAGGGAGAAGCCAGACCCAGGGCATCCCTGAGCATCCTCCCAAAAGACGTGTACAAGAGCTGGGGAGGGGAGGGGCAGAAGGGCAGGCTCCCAGCTGCTGCCAGCAACCTCTTCCCCTCCAGCTCCTCCCCCGACCCCTCAGATCCCCCACCTTCCCAACCCTGCCCCAGCATCTCTCCTGTCACTGAGGCTCTCTGATGAGACAGAGGGACTGGAAATCAGGGCCCGAGGGGAGAGGCCCTGTGGTCCAGAGGCTGGCCCTTGGGTGGTGACTGTCTCCTGTGCAGTGATAAGAGATCCATGGCTTCTGCATCCAGGGCTGCTGCTCCTTCTCCATCTAGTCGACCTGCCAGAGACCCCAGGAAACATGAGGCTGGTATGCGGTGAGATGGAGGAGACAACAGGACTAGAGGAAGCGGTCCTGGGCTGAAAGAGAAAGGAGCTGATCCACCATCCATCAGCCGAGTCGCTTTCACTGTAAGACACCACTTAACCATCCAGAACCTTCCTTTCCACTTCTATCAAATGGGGCTAAGCTATCTGCTCCTCCCAGTTTTTTTTTATAAGGTTTGAATGAGAAGATGAATGCCTGTGTCCCCTGCAAACTCCAGAGTTTATCATCTACCACCTGCTCTGAGCCCAACTTTTCCCATTGTCACGCCCTGCATTGGTAAAATACTTCATACAAATGATGCGCTTCTGTACGCATTCTCTCACTTGGCTCTCCCACCACACAGATGAAGGTGAGTGGCCCGCCCAGAGCACACAGAATTAATTTTCGCTGAACCCAAGCTCCTAAACTGAGCTCTCTCCCTAGTGCAGGGAGGGCAGGCACGCCCAGGGATGAGTAATGGTCCTAAGTAGAGACATAATAACACCAGGGTCACTCACTCTGAGCCAGCACTGGGCAGGCCTGACCTCATGTGATCATCACACATACTAGCACACAAGGCAGCCACGATGGTTATGACCAAGGTCAGGAATTTGCCAGAATCAACAGGAAACGGCAAATCTGGGCTACAAAATCAGGTCTACTTTTCCGGAGTCAGTGGTTAAACTGATCAAATGGATTCAACGTTAGAAGTGTCACCTCTTCCCCCTCCCACTCTGGGGACATTCCCCAGCCCCCAGGAGGGCCCAGGCCTAAGAGGTCACGATTTTCGAGGGTTGGGTCCTCTACAAGCAGGTCTTCCCCACCTGGCCCCACATTCACCTGCGTGGTGTCGTGGATCCAGTCCAGGAACTCGGCAACTTTGGCGTAGACGCCGGGGTGGTTGGGCTCCGCGCAGCCATGGCCCCAGCTGACCACCCCCACCAGGCGCCATGTGCCCCCGTCCAGGCACACCAGGGGGCCCCCGCTATCCCCCTGAGGGATCCAGGCACCAGGACAAGAGAAACAAGCAGTTAGTCCTTCCTGGGAGAGGGGATCCAGACCACCCCAGGGCGGGGAGCCCACCGTAGATTCCACACCACCCTACTTCCAGGATGGATCCCATCTTGTCTCGCCCTCCTAAACCCTCAGCACACAGCCAACTTGCCTGGGCACTCCCCACTCCTAGAGAGGATGTTCAGCCCCACACCCCTCCACCAGCCCCGCACACCCTGCCCACCCCGCCCCAGGCCCCTGGCTGCCGCACCTGGCATGCATCCGCCCTCCCGTCCAGGTAGCCCGCACACAGCATGCGGGGTGTGAGGGCCCCGCTGTATACGCAAGAGCTGTTGCAGAGCTGGGTGCTGAGCAGGGGCACCGTCGTGTCCTGGAGCATGTCCGAGCTGTGGGCTGCAGGAGGCAGACGCAGAGATGGAAGGACACGGAGCCAGGCCCCAGGAAGGCAGAGCAGCAAGAGGGGGTTAGAGGCCCGGGAGACACAGAGACCCAAAGAGGGGGTCCCAGGGTGGGAGCTGTGGACTCTGGGCAAGGAGGCAGGGGTCTGTCAGACCTGGGGGCAGGGAATGAGGAGGAGCAGACCTCACATATACAACCCGATGCCAAGGCCCTGGCGCTCCCAGGACAAGGGAAGGGGAAGCAAGGGCCTGGGTTTGGGGGAAACATGGGGTTGTTCCCCCAGAAAGATGCAGGCAAGGAAGACGGGCCCGCAGGTCTGGCCAAAGGTGATGCCAGAGGAGGAGGGGGCCGGCACTGCCCTGCAGCCAGGGGAGAAGGCGGTGGGAGGTGGAGGTGCCTCACTTTAGGGAAGGATGCCCCCCACCCCCCACCCCTTTTGCATCCAGAGCCCTGGGAGCTGACTCACTGTGGCTGGTGTCAGTGTGGCCCCAGCCAGACACCCAACACTGAGAGCCCCTCGGAAAATCTTGGTCTTCAGCCGGCAGGCACACGGCACCCACGGTGTCTGTGGAGAGTGTGTGGTGTCTGGTGGGGGTCCTGGGTCCCACTCAGGCCTCCCTCCCCCTGAGGCTGGGAAAAGAGCAGGCCTGGCAGACATCCTTGCCCCCTCCTTGTCTTGGTTCCAGCCTCCTGTACGACTAGGCGGGTCACGCATGCGCTGTACCACCTGGGGGGGCACCATGCACACAGAGGACAGTGTGGAAACCGCAGTTCATGGGGCGCCCAAGGCTGGGCGATGTCCACACTGAGCACCCCCCACCTGGGACTGAGGGGGTGTGGACATTCCTTCCTAATCTCTCCTAATGATGACCTGTTTTAGATTTTCCTCAGGGTGTTTGGACCCCGCTGGGGCATTGTTCCGACTGGTCCGATGGGGCGGAGCCCAAACCTGATTTTAGGTAGTGAGCAGACATGCATGAGATAAACACCGTCTCACTGGGAGAAAGAATTCCCTCTCCAGTTCTCTTTCAGCCCCTCGACTGCACCAAGGAGAACAGCCCCGGCTGGCGCTGCTCTGCTCCTGTCTGTGCGCCCCCGCGAAGCGGGGAGACGGCGCCCCGGGCGGGGCCGCTCTGCAGAGGACAGCTTGGAGCTGCGACTTGAGCGTGGCTTTGTTTTCACTCTCTGCATTTCGGTGGTGATTATTTGCTGTGCTTATTATTATTTTGTGGTTATTATTTACTGTTAGTCATATGGGTTCTCTAGTTAGGGTGTAACCTGAAGTTTCCCTTTAAATACATTTAAGTCACTTTAGAAGTGTTCATTGTTGAACAACAGGGCAGAGACAGCAGCAACTGTGGTTCGGGAAACCCAAGGCTCCAGGTAGCAACGGGAGGGAGGCGTGCTGAGTGTTTGTGAGCGTGCGTGTGTGTGGCGTGGCTATGTATGCATAGGAATGAGCGTGCACGCGTACCCCTGTGAGCCTGGCATGACCGTGTGAGCATCTGAGGGCACACACACGTGCGTGTGTGTTTCCACAAGTGTGAGTATGTGTGTCTGTAGGTGAGTGCGCCTGGCCCGTGCAGGTGGCAGAGCCGCCCTTCTAGGGGAGATGCTGTGGGGGAGAAGCCCTGGCCGGGGGGCTGTCTGCCTCGTGAACTTGAAGAGAGTCACTTCCCTCACTGAACGCCAGCATCCTTACCTGTATACACCTGCCTCCTCTCCCTGTCGGGGCTGTTATGAGGATTGGATGAAAGCATATTTGGTAAAGGAAATCTTATTAACCATAACACGGTTCTAGTTATTAACTGTGATACTGTTAACTATCTAGTTAACTATTCTTAACTCTGGCCTGGCTGGGACCTGGCACCAGCCTGGGGCCCGGGCCGGAGCAGCCTGCAGGAGATGGAGAAATTGTGATGCTCCTCTTTGGGACCTCGAGACGAATCCCACCTGCAGCCCGGCTGTGAAAAGGGCCAGAATGTTTGTCCCCAAAGGATTACATGGAAGAGTCAGGGCCACCTCAGGGCCAGGTGATGCCAGAGCGCACGACAGCTACCAAGAGAAGTGAAGGTTTTAAGGTTCCCAGTTCAAGGAAATCTTAGAAACCAGCCTGCCTCTCCGCCTTTCCCCGGCGCCTGCTCCTCTCACCACAGCCTCACCTGAGAAGTGGAGTGGGGTCCGGAGCTGCAGGAGGGCCATGTCGTAGTCGTGGGTCTGGGCGCTGTAGAGAGGGTGGGCGATGATCCGCTCCACCAGAGCCCCCTGGTGTGGCCTGACCGTGCTGTGGCTGACCAGCCCCACGTGGACCCGCCAGCTGGACAGGCGGGACAGCCTGAAACTGCACACAGGAGCCATGCTGAGCCCCGGGGGAGGGAGGGGCCGAAGAGGCTGATGTAAATGATGCAGTGCGTGGAGGGAGCTATTGGTGGGACCCCATAACCGGGCCTCTCAGAATCCCCCTAGCAGCTGGCAAGACCCTGGGCATGCAGTAGGTGCTTAATAAATGCTCAGGCACTGATGGAGAGCGAAGTGAGACAGTATGGGGTATCTACAACCACCACCCCCTCTCTCCTGCATAACCCCCACCAGGTTTTATGACAAATGGGAAGGCCCTGTGTGAGATGGTAACTCTCAGCCAAGGCAGTGAAGCTTCCACCAGTCCTGTCTCCCCCTTCCTAGCTGTGCTCTCGGGGAGGGGCTTCAGCCCTCCCGGCCTCAGAGTCCTCGCTATAAGATGAGGCTTACGCGCTCTGCCCTGCCTGCCACCAAACAAGAGAGCCGAAGAGCTCGTTCATTCCTTCCACCAGTAGTAATTAAGCCCCTGCTACATCCAGGACTGTCCTGGGCCACGGGGACGAGGCAGTGGACAGACCAACAAAGGGGCTGGATTCAGTGAGAAACAAGACAGAGTCCCTCTTCCCATGTATGTTCCAGTCTAAAGGGGGAGAAAGACGTTCAACCAATAATCACATGAAAAATGATTTAATTACAGTGGTGATCAGTGTTTAGAAGCACGAAGTGCTGGGAGTGTGAGAGCATTTTAAAAGCTGAAAACCCGAACAAATCTAAATATCCTAAATGTAAATATTCTAAAAAATACTTGTATTATTTCTAGAGAATGTTTGTATTATTAGGGCTATTTAAACAAAGCTGTTCTTGGCACTGCACAGGGAGAAGTTCACAAACACCACCGGCGCCCACGCGCAGCGGACATGGGAGGCAGGCAGTTGGACAAGGACATCTTAGACAGGACGTAGCAACAGCCAAACAGAAGAGGCGTCGGAGGCGCTCTCCTCCCCAGACTTGCCTGTGCACACAGTGCGCCGCCGTCACCACCCAGCGTGGGGCCAGCACGGAGCCCCCGCACGTGTGCCGGGAGCCCAGGGCCACACTGGCCTGC